TGTGTGTGTTTTTGAATGAGTGTGTATGGGTGTTTCCCAGTACTGCGTTGCAGCTGGAAGGGCATCCGCTGTGTACAACCGGAGCAAACCGGAGCAAACCGAAGCACCCGGAGGAAACCCACGCCAACACGGGCAGCAGAGATGGGCAGTATATATGACAGATGTATTTTAAATATGTATATTATGTAGTTTGTATGTGGTAGGGTTTGTGAAAATGGGTTAATATTTTGTATCAGAATACTTTATTGTCTTGTATTTGGTATTTTTAAAGTACTGTAAAACACTTTGTCAGACATCTACAGCAAGACTTCTTATAAATGCAGCCTCTGACTGGTGCTTTTTTGGGTGCTGTGAGGCGACTGTGCTACCCACTGCGCCACCGTGCCGCCCTCTAAATAAATACATAATAAACCCCTGCCATATTACTGAGCGCTTCAGCTGTTTATTTACAATGAATGAAGTGAATTATGGGCGGGAGTATTCCTGATTTCCACATGCCAGTGTGGACAGATGTGCAGTTTTCTTGGACCTGGCAACCCTGTGTGTGTGTGTTGGTGTTCTGCAGAGTGAGCTACTCTGCCCAGAGTGTGCTGCTGTTCAGTGTGAATGATGCTCGCAATGTGTGTGTGTGTGTGTGTGTTGGTGTTCTGCAGAGTGAGCTACTCTGCCCAGAGTGTGCTGCTGTTCAGTGTGAATGATGCTCGCAATGTGTGTGTGTGTGTGTGTGTTGGTGTTCTGCAGAGTGAGCTACTCTGCCCAGAGTGTGCTGCTGTTCAGTGTGAATGATGCTCGCAATGTGTGTGTGTGTGTGTGTGTGTGTGTGTGCGCGCTCATTCCCCTCAGCTCTCCTGATCCTGGTGTTCCTGATGCGCTCATACCTGTGCGGGATCTGCCCAGGTGAGTGTCTGTCAGTCAGTCAGATGCTAGTTACTCTGTCAGCGGGTGTTAGCGTGTGCTGATGCGCGTGTGCTCCGCAGGTGTGAGCAGAAGGCGTGTGATGGGCTCCTGCGGCCGCATGTGGTCTGGTTTGGAGAGACGCTGGACTCGCACATCCTCACTAAAGTGGAGAAGGAGCTGGAGACCTGCGACCTGTGTCTGGTGGTCAGTGTCTGCACGTACTGATGCTCCAGTGTTAGCATAATCACCTGGGGGGGATTCCCAAAACTAGCGTTAGCCAGTGTGTGGAGATCTCCAGCAGCCTGTGATGGTCCACAGTAATGAGCTGTGCTTGTTTATAATCAGACTGAATGAAACTCTGTGATTGGCATTCTCTCTTTGTACGTGTCATCAGAGGGGGAAAGCCCCGCCCACTAGTGCCCATCTCTCTCTCATTAGCATAAACAGCAGCCCTGAGTGAGAAGCAGCCGTCTGTGACATCATGAAATAAATTCAGTGTGTGTGTGTGTGTGTGTGTGTGTGTGTGTGTGTGTGTGTGTGTGTCTGCAGGTGGGCACTGCAGCAGTGGTGTATCCGGCGGCCATGTTTGGTCCTCAAGTGGCATCACGTGGCGTTCCAGTGGCCGAATTCAACACTCGACCCACAGTGAACACACCCCGATACAGGTCAGCTCATCACACATCCCTCCGTCAGAAGTAAAGGGGTAGTTCACTCAGAACACAATGCTGTCCTCATTTACTTGCTTCATACCAGTCTGAGTGTTTTTTTTGTCCTGCTGAGCTCAAAAGGAGATTGTATAAAGTCCCTGTGAAGTTTAAATAAAGTTAATATGTTAGTCCTCAGATCTACACTCACCGGCCACTTTATTAGGTACACCTGTCTAACTGATCATTAACACACATTTCTAATCAGCCAATCACATGGCAGCAGCTCACTGCATTTGGGCATGTAGACATGGTCAAGAGGATGTGCTGCAGGTCAGAGCGAGCATCAGAATGGGGAAGAAAGGGGATTTAAGAGACTCTGAACGTGGCATGGTTGTTGCTGCCAGACGGGCTGCTCTGAGTATTTCAGAAACTGCTGATCTACTGGGATTTTCACGCACAACCATCTCTAGGATTTACAGAGAATGCTCCGACAAAGAGGGAATATCAAAGATATCAAATATCAAACACTCCATCAGATCAAGGTGTCTGTAGCTCCGCCCTCTTCTGAAAAGAGCACAATCTCATTTGCATTTAAAGCTAAAAAACCACGATTAGGATCAGAGCCTAAAAGGGTCAGTTTCAGATAGCTGGAGAACACTATCTGTGTGTATTCTCAGCTCACACACACACACACACACACACACACACACACACATACACTCTGCAGACAGGTCAAAGGGTGAGAATAGGTCTCTTTAATGTGATGTGAATGAATGAATCTGAAGGGTTGAGTTTAACAATATCCAGCAGTAATGTGACACCTCTGCTGTACTGATGATGATGATGATGATGATGATGATAATGACGATGACGATGAAGCTGATGATGATGATGATGATGATGATGATGATGACGATGACGATGACGATGATGATGAAGCTGATGATGATGATGATGATGTGTGCTGTGTTTGTCTGCAGGTTTCATTTCTCGGGCCGCTGTGCTGACACTCTTCCAGTGGCTTTAGCTCCTCACGAGTCTGAAGACTGAAGATCTCGCTCATCTCAGACGGACACAACTGGAAACGTGTGTGTGTGTGTGTGTGTTCTGGAAGCTTCTCCTGTGCCTTTGAGCTCCATCAGTGTGTGTTTACAGTCGGTCTGTGCTTTACTGTTGCCTTCTGATCATTCCTGAACATTCACCAGCATTAAAGACCAATCAATAAAGCAGATCTCATATCACACTGTGTGTGTGTGTGTGTGTGTGTGTGTGTGTGTGTGTGTGTGTGTGTGTGTGTGTTTGTGTATGTGTATGCGTGTGTGTTCATGTATGTATGTATGTATGTGTGTGTGTGTGTGTGTGTGTGTGTGTGTGTGTGTGTGTGTGTGTGTGTGTGTGTGAGATGCGCTGCACTGGTCCGTCACACACCGGCTGTGCGCTTCTGTAGGTGCTGCTG